TATTCTACATTTTGTTATTGGCATATATGTCATACTGATATGTATCACTAATCAGAATAGTCTACTGATTTAATATGAGAAGCGAAGAAAGCTTAATAAGTTTATTCAGTAGAGTTATGCTGTGTGTCTCACTGATATGCTTAAACATACTACACAAACAAAAATAAACTTTATATTAATTAAACGATGTTAGAATCACTCAATTGACCGACGGTTTGAATATAATAATAATTAGCACTTGAAAAACAACCAATCAGAGCCCGAATTTCGCTGGTGTTTCCCAGAGCCTCAGCAAGCCTCCACAGGGGATTGCAGGCTCAGGGTTCGAGATTGCCAAATTCTGCCTTATTTTGGATAAATTCCTCGCCCCCTGGGCATTTTGCCTCCACGGCTAAAGATCGGTGAAAATGTCCGTGGGATCGGCTGGTCATATGACGCACATAATTTCTGGGTGTTTTGCATCCTCGTTCCCAGCGCCTCTCGGCCGAGCGCGACCTTCATAGACCCTGGGATACACTGAGCCGGAAATGCAAGAAAACTTGCAGTAGTTTCTAAAGCGCATACTCTTGAATTTGGACTCTTTAGCGCCAGTAACAATTTTCACAGAGAAGTATTACGAAGAAACGAAATATGTGTGTTGACATATTTTGAGTAGAATAATTTTGCCTAGCGAAAAGTGCTCAAATTCTGCGAAATAGCATTTCTCTGAGAAACCAATCATATCTCTCCCTTCAGTCGTCTAACCCAGAGCCTAATTCTCAACGAGTGACCGAGTGAAAATGACTCTGGGGACGAGAATTGGTGTTTTGATACGATAATTTATGTGAAATTAAATTATTGTAGTTTGTTTACGAATAATAAGTGAAAGACTAAAGACTTTATTTTAAGAGCAGTATATACTTGCATAATCCTTCCTATATCCATGTATCCGACAAACACGTAGTGCAGGACGTAAGTGAATCTTCGCTAAGTCTATGTTCACCGTATAATTTGAAGACAAAACAATTTTAATTAATGCACTACTGGTAGAGTTGTTTGAATAAATTATACCGCAAGATAATTTTAATTATGCATTAAAATGCGTTTTTGAACAGAACAATGGGGATATCGATTGTATGATCAGCCGATCCCATTCCCAAGGCCATTTTCGCCAACTTCCGTAAGGAAAATGGTATAGCCAGCAACAGATCGACAATAAATACACTTTTGATGCTTTTAAATCTTCAATAATCACATTTATTTATAATGATATGATTTCTTTTAGCTTTCTTATAGTCGCAATGTCATATAAAGCAACATAACAGCCTATTGAATAACATACGAAAGGATTTTATCTCAGTTGATAGGTTTTTAGTGGATGGAATTTTAAGGGTTGAAATTAGAAGTTAATGTTATCATACATGTTGGCGCAGAGCAAACTGTGGGCCATGTTCAGAATTTCCCTATACTACTTTTTATATAAGATAGATGTATAGCTCAGTGTCAGAAATTGCGTTGCAAGTTTCAAGTAAAATTGCCTCATGTAACATGGCCTTTAGGTATATGGGTGTATTTCAACCTTTTGGGAATCCTTTTCGATAGCTTTCAGTGGATGGAATTTTGATACGAAAATTCAGTATACACAATTTTATACTGTACCTATTACCTAACCGGCAACAGTTACGAAAAATGCAACTTTAGACCCTCTGGAATCTTTTATAGGCCCTCAGAAATCGCACCTGCTCCCGTTTGGGCCTAAGATTGTATAGAGCATTCGCACTCATTCCCGCCATGTTGTGTTCCAGACTAAAGAGTCTAATTATAATTCATTTGAATTGGAACACCAACACGGTGGCTGTCACGTCAGGTGCAAACGCTGAAATTCAATCCACTAAAATCCCATGACTAGGGCGGAGTTGGAGGGACCTATTATATTTCCTGCTTCATATTTTTAATACACCTACTACATTGGTTTGATTCATTCCTCATTATTTTCTCTAAATTTACATTTATACTAGAATCAACTTTTTTTACTTTTTTTTATAACTCCCCTTCCCCCCCCCCCACCCCCCTTCCAAAAAAAACCCAAATGATGCAACCATTTAAAATCACAATATATACCATATTAGTGAAATTGTTGGGTAACACTGTATATCAGTAAAAATTGAGTGTAAACAGGGTGACCGTTGGGTATACTTAACTATATAGCAAAAATCGCAGCCATTGTAGATTGATTCACTAAAGCCACAATATATACCATATCTGAAACCATTGTGTGTATAATTATATAGTCTAAGATGCGTAACGCAAATACAGAACAAATTTCCTCAGAGAGCCGTAAGCGCCCGCTATTGTGTTTCTAATCGAAATCTCGATTTTCTCCAAACTCTCCAAAGTGCGGTCTAAACCCATTATATATTGACGGTTTCATTATATTTACAGTTTTTGAGACACGTGTATAAGACACGCCCATGTCACGCTGTTACAAGTATTCTTTCAATCGCAGGCAAGCATTAAATTCTATGTAACGTGGGTTTTAACATCAAGCATCATTGACATTGGACAACCCGGCGAATTCTTCATATCACGATGGCTGATTGCAGGTGATGCAGAGAACGGAGCTTTGATGTTGTACTCTCGCAAGACGGAGCGAACACGTGGGCGGGAACAGTCGCGGGTTAAATAATACACGATCATTGGTTCATCTCGGCCTTTCATCTTGACTGGCCCGCGTAACTCGAAGTCAAAGCTAGGATCCATGCTTCCAGGTTGTTGGAGACATCTATTTTGCGCAAAAAGGAACAAAAAAGCCGTTAAAATCTTTAAAACTGTTAAAATCTTTAAATACACGAAACTGTTCAAAAACCACACAAAATATTTTTCAATGGCTAATATTTTCCTGCACATGACTCCATGTCAGCGGCAAAAAGCTGATGGCAATACTATCAATGGTCAAAATCATACTGCTATTATAAGATGCAAATAATGATCTGCTCGTGCGCACTATAGCTTACGCTTTCGTAAACATGTTACCTTGAGTTAAGAACATGTAAAAACAAAGCCGAGCCCTCAACATTGGCAAATAATTGATCAGCTCTCCACTGAGAAATTACAGAATATAATTTTACTCAACCTCGCTAAATAATTGTATATTATTTGCCTGCTGTCAAGAAGCGTGCGCGGAACAACACGCTACCAGGGCCAAGCATTACAGCGCCTGGGTACGAGGCAGGCATATTATTGCAAAGAATGTCTTTTTCAAATTGGATGATTCATGGAAAAAAGTGATTAGAGTACCACACAATAATAACCATTATTTTTATTTTGCTAAGCCCATTTTACCTGTAAGTGTATTCACTAATATTGATCTTGCCACTAGTTCCTGTAGTTTCCGTTCTGCTGGTCAAGTTCACAGTGTTACCAAATAAACAATATCTTGGCATCACCTGACCAACAACACCAGAGACAACCTCACCAGAATGAATACCAATTGTGATCTGTCAATTAGAAAAAATATACAAGACTAATCATTGCCTCAAATCTCACCACAACTGCTCTGGGAAAGAACCTAAACATATATTATGTTTTTGGAACCGCTTTTCGAGCATCGCAACTAAGCTGTAACCGCAATTAAGCTGCAACAGAAGGTGAATTGGAATTGAATTGGTACTTAATCTGGACTGGATTGAAATTAAATTGGAACTTGACTAGACTTGGTATTGAATTGTAATTGATTTGAATTGAATTGGTATTGATTCAATTTAATTGGATCGAAATGATTTAAATAGACTTGGTATTGAGTTGCAATTGAATTCGAATTGAATTGAAATGGATTGGCATGAAATGAAGTTGAATTGGAATTCAATTGGAATTAAATCGGAATTAAATTGAAATTGAATTGGAATTGAATTGGAATTGAATTAGAATTGAATTGGAATTGAATTGGACTTGGAATTAAATTGGAATTAATTTGGAATTGAATTGGAATTGAATTGGAATTGGATTGGAATTGAATTGAATTGGAATTGAATTGGAATTGGAATTGAATTGGAAACGAACTGGATTCATTAAATTAGAATTGAATTGGATTGTATTGGTATTGAATTGGAACTGAAATTGTATTGAATTGAATTGAAATGGAATGGAATTGAATTGGAATTGGAAATGAACTGGATTATTAATAAATTAGAATCGAATTGGAATTGAATTGGTACTGAATTGAACTGGAATTGGAATTGAATTGCGCGGAATTGGATTTGAATCGGATTTGAATCGGAATTAAGGTGACCTGGTATTGAATTGGGATTAATCTCAGTCAATGTTAGATTTTCTGTTTGTTCTAATTTCGCTTGACCAGCAACGAGCCGGGCATCCACACTACGTACTAGGATTTAGAATTGATACTGGCGTCTAGTCTAAAGGCGATCTAACTTGCCTGTATCTTTCGTTTGTGAGTATTGATCTCTTGCACTATCTCCATCATATCTAGTGCCATATTACAGATCTTGCGTGCATGGTCATTGCATCTTTCTGGCAACCCGCTAACAGCCATGTACATATCTCCCACAGTCTCGACCTACGTAAAACGTAATTAGCGGTTAGAAGTATACGCAAATATAATGCAGGATGTTGGGCATCTATAAACTCGATATGACTAATAGAAAGGTTTTGTAGATTGAAATTTCGAGTGTGAATTTTATACATTTCTTTGACCTAACCAGGAGCAGTTCCGAAAAATGTAACTATGGAACCTGGTCACAGAGTAGAGACATACAGAGACGTAACTAGTGTACCCATTTTTTGTGCGCATGCTCGGCAAGTTACTAGATGCATGCATCTGATTGGATGACGACCTGATGACGGCTTACTTTAAACTTGATGAGCACGCGCAGTTGATCATTTCGCCCGGTCGACTGAAAAAAAGTGGGTACATGATAACGTAATCTTCCGCAGTGTTTACAACGGTCAGTTACGTCTCTGTATGTCTTATCTACTCTGTGACCTGGTGCAGGACATATAACATCTTATTAACAAGCCTGTCGCAGGTACTATGAAGATTAAATTTTATCCATCGCCGAATATGCAAACTCACTTACTGACCTAAATCCTCCATTTCATATTTCTAATGTTTCTTCACAATATGATGTGCACTTGTTATTTTATGACGAATAAGATGGCCACATTGGTTTAAGGAGGGTGGGTTTCGGACATTTATGAAGACGACGGTATCGGATGCCTACGCAAGACGTCTGGACGATTTCCGCCCTGATTGTATGTTGCGAATAGGCTACAAAGATCTTCTCATTTTATTAAGGTGGTAGAAGTTCAAGATTATCAAGAACAATTGAATGCGTTCTAATGAAAATAAATAAAAGCTCGACAACTGGACTCTGTAACCGAGTTGGTCAGAGCGCTACATCGGAATCACTGGACCAGAAGGTTCGATTCCTTCTAGAAAATATATCTTTGCATGCATTTTTGGCAACCGCTCCTGCTTAGATCTAATAAAAGTATAAAATTTACACTCAAAATTCAATCAGCATAACCCTTCAACAATTAATACTGTCAAGTGAGATGCGTGGTATTTAATGGAAATAAGGCCCACTGTATGCACCACATGTGCAATTTGGTGCGATGATAAAGTCTAATTACAAAACGTTTCATATATAATTTCATTCACCTTGTAAACATCATTGATACGGGGATCAAGTAAAACATCGAAACTGGTATATACATCGTTCAACAACTGCACAATTTCTAGAGGCATGGCGCTCTTGCAGAAATCGGTAAATCCAACAATAGCGCTGAACAGAATGGTGACCATTTCGTACTTTTCTGCAGGCACTGGCCGCTTCTGTCTCAGCTGATCAGCGACGGACGAAGGCAAGACGGAATAGAGCAATTGATCTGTAAGCTGTTTCTCAGCCTCGAGTTCTTTGTGAGTCTGTTTGAGGTAGTCTGTTAGTACTTCCAGGCGTTGGGTAAGCTTGTACTCCGCCGCAAACTGCTCGGAAAGAAGTACCAGCTGTCTCGTGGAATCGTGTATTGGAATGTCACTGACAAACAATCCTTTTGCCTGCAGGTCGTCCATATCAAGGACACTTGGAGAGCATAGGTACAGTACCAATTCAGACTCTTCTATGTAAAGCATTTGACCTGTCAATATTTTTTATAAAATGTATGAATTTTCATGGATAAACCGGCATTTGGGGGATAAGGCAGAATTTTGGAACAGGGAATTCTTACACTTTTTTTCTGGAATGTTGAATTGAAATTTTTACTTGCTGCTCAATGAATGAGGAATTGTTTCCAAATTAAACGTGATAAGCCGGACGCCAGAATTTTCAGTTTTAGCAATTTAATACAGTATTTTTCAAAATGTTTTTAAAATTTTAGTCCAGTATCAGCCAAATTCTTCTACAAAACCTTGTGGGAGGGATGTTTATTATTGATTTTACGAAAATCTGGCAAAGTATGCCTGAAACGCAGCAAATTAACGAGAAATTGAATTAGAATAATGTAACTAGTACACATGTATGCCCTTATTCATTGAGAAAGGGAAGTTAAAGAAATACGGATTTACAGCTATATAATATATAGTTAACAGTGTCAAATATTCAGCCGCTACAGCAGTATAGCCGATGAGGATCGTAGCACTGCGTTGCTGGGGCGTAGGAAGCATCAAGAGATCGGGGGGAGGCACCGGCTTCCTGGGTCACTTTTGGATAATGAAAAGAGCGCCTAAACGGGGGGGAGACGGCCACGGGAAAAACATTTTCCACATTTCATGCTTAAGATAACACATTTTCTTAAATTTTCGAATTCCAACGTGCAATGAACTTTTTGACCAAATTGTTTTTACAAACATCGAAATTTCCCAACAACTAGGGCACCTTCGATGTTAATATAGTGTTTACAGCAACATTAGCTTGTACAAAAAGGGCACTTTTCATCACAAAAGAGGCACTTTGAAAAAATTTGGAGGGCAATACTGCACTAAGAACTACTGCACTTACAGACTTAATTCAGTATTGTCATTTTGACAGTTAGTTTGGCAATGCACACAACTTGGCCGAAACCTGATAAAACACTGCTGCTCGCTCTTAAATTAATTAAATGATACAAAACAAAGGCTTTTGCTATTATTATTTTCAAAAAAATATATATTCAGAATGTTCGTGTTTTCATCTTCGCTCTTTCAACAAAATATTTTTAACCGGTTTAAATATTAAGCATTTATTTGTTAACCTATCATATCGCTAGACCATCCTCCGATAGCCAAAGCCTGAAAAAACGCCGTCAAGGTAGATGATGTAATATAGCACGTCAACATATCAGTTCAACATTCCGTGTATAGTTTATAAAGACGGTCTAGTGTTCATGACCCAGTGGCCTAAGAAACAGCTGCTTGATAAAAGGACGCAAGTTTTAAAAGAACGCAAATTCGAGCTAGGGAATAAAGATTTGCAGAAATACGTTTATAAAGTTTGAAATATCAACCGGTACTATCCTTTTCAGTTGGAGACGGGATCCCTTACCACAAAATGGATATGCGAACAAATGACCGCAAACAAATGGAAACATGGCATATGTGAATTCTTCGTTACCTTTAAGGCGTAGATTAACATACTCTTCTCCATTACTTCCCTTTCGTTGCGGTGATCCTGGTGGCGTGTTCTCTTCATCAACCACTAGAACACCTTGTCGCGTTTTCATAACAAAAACTGTATTAATGTGCGCCAATACAGAGTCAACGGTAAATTCGATCTGAGGTCTGACACACTGAAACAGATCACCAAAATTCACATCCTCCGCATTAAGCTGTGGTAGGACCCGACATACAGAGTCTCCCGCCTGGATTACCATCAGATTACGATCAAATATGACGTGAAATGGGAAAGCTTTGCAGAACGACATGGGAGAAATCTTTGGCTCTAAGTTAAGTTGACCGCCCATTGTAAGATCAGCTTCATCCAATTTCATCTCCGACGAATCTCCACTGCTGATTTCTGTTATTGCGAGTTGAACGTGGTCGTTCTCTTCATCCTTTGTCTGAATGATTTCCACGGATACCTGTGATCATGATCATATAATTATGAAATCATAAATAAACATTATTAAGGAATATGGAGTGCCAAACATTGCAAGCTTAACATTACACCTGTGCATAAATTACATTCATATAATACAAGACTTGCGTCGGGACTTTGTTTATCATTACCTAAACCCAGGACAAATTTTGGTTTATTTAACATTAGATATCGGGGTGTCAAGGTATGGAATGCACTCAGCGATTTTGACAAAAGATTGTCATTCACTCAGCTCAAACAAAAACTTAAAGCTAATTTTGTTGATTCGTACTAACCTTTTAAAAAAAAATTCAGAAAGTAGTTTTTTATATCACTTCTTTATTTTTTTAATTTTTTGTTCTTAATATCTTACTGCATTAATTCCTTTTATTATTATTCGGTATCTTTGGCCTCCAGCTCTGATTAGCCTATTGGTTATTTTGGAGAGCCGGCTTCACTCTATTTATAATTATAAGTAACTAATGAATGATTGTAAAATTGTTGTGAAGAAATAAAACTTCTTCTTTAAAACTTCTTCTTTACACAAGCATCTATAAGCATGCATATATACCTAATTTTAGTGTGCAGTAATAACCAATTTGGGAAGTGATGAAGTGAACGTGTGCAGTGATGAAATGTAGAAATGTACAGTGATAACATTCTAGTAAATTAATAAAACCCACGGAATTAATTTTCATTATTTTTTCGAATCTCTAATCAGGATTAAAAAAGGGGAAACTGAGTTATAGTCTCTCCTTGTAGCTTACATCAATATCTCGCGCAACTGGCACTTGCTTGTATACATCAGTTTACTACTTACTTCTGTGTTGAGAAGCTTCCTTGCGACAGTCTTGACAATGCCAAGCACAATATGTTCCAGTCCATCTCGTACTGAATAGTAGTGCAAAATAATCGCACCGTCGCGGTTAGTCACTCTGAAGGACGGAGCTCTCATGCCGGGATACATACTGCCCAAGTGATCATGCAAGGCATCAAGGTTGCAAAGAAACTCACTCAACTTGCCACCCAGGACGTGCAGGATTCTGTCGTAACCTGATTCTTGACAGAAGTCGAAGAACGTCTCTCCAAACATTTCTAGGATTTTCGTAGCAGGAATGCCTAAAATAATAGACAAAACAAAGGCAATAGACAAAATCGGCTACCGTTTGTTTAAATCGTTACCACATAATTTACAACTTTGGAATAGAACATAGCTATCTAAGAATTAGAATTGTGCATGTCTCTGCCTCTGAAAGAGTCATTTATCAGTGGTTTAATTCTATTCGGTCTAGTATAAGGGTTATTCAATGTACTCCTGTCGCAGTTCTGACAAGGTGAATACAACGCTTCAGTTTTTCTGATTCTTATAGTGCGCATAGTCTTAATGCGCATAGTATATGAAATTATATCTGATTACCTAAAACTTGTGTTGCCGCTTCAACCAAGTCGTACGTTTTGAGATCATCGTAGACAATTCGCACAAGAAATCTTCCTTCCAAATTTAGACCAGCCTGCTTTCTATAAATTACAATTTTACCAAATCTTCAGAATCCCTAATAATACACGAGCTATACATCCTTTTCATAAATGGCTGCCGATTAAAAATTATTTTATGTGCATATAAATTGGCCCAACTAGCCTCGTACTCATGTTAAGATTTCAAAGGAATTTCTACCCAGAAACGAGGCTAGTTGGGCGAATTTATATGCACATAAAAGAATTTTTAATCGGCAGCCATTTATGAAAAGGGTGTATACAGCCTGCACATATTCAATATTATCATTCACTTTATAGTATTCTCAATTTTGATTGGTTAGCTGCAAATAACTGTCCGCAAATATCGATCAGGCGCAAATAACTGGTGCAAATACTTCATTGAGCATGCTCACTTTGAAAATTATTCGTCAGCTTAAATTAAAAAATACCGTCTTCTCATTTGAAATGTCAACATGGCTGGTTTTGCCGAGCTATCGGAAAGCGGATTTGTCATCTTTACTGGTGGAAAAGGACGCCGAAAACAAAAAATAGGCAACAAAAGTTAAATTGTTTACATGCTTGATTTTATAAAAATCACAATTTTTGTGCAATACAGTATTTTTACGTTGTGTATGTCAGACTAAATTATACTTTTTCCGTTGACTGTTCTTGGATTTGTTATTAAACTTGTGCCCATAATAATAATTGACAAATACTAATCGGTAAATGATAAGACAATTATTGAACTCGGCTATCGCAAAATATCGTTATTTATCAGTGGCTCGCAGATCAATTATTTGCCTCTGCCTATGCGGTCGGTTGATTTTGTAATCACGAGTATGATTATGGCATTAATAGCACTCGTTCTATTACCATCATTAATTGTACTGCAGTACAATTAATGATTTTCCCAAAGCAAACAAAATGGCGGAAAGGTATATTTTGAACACAAATGTGAAATGAAATTGCCCTTGAGGAACTAGATGAAAATACGAACAAAAGTACTAAATTTTGGTACGTTGAAAGTCTGGCAGGACTGGGTTTTGGCGAGAGAATATGATGTTGACGGAGAAGTGTCCAATTTTGTCATATGCTAATAATAAACAAACAAGTATAATCATGCGATGTTGCTCGTATAATTAGGGATTAATAGTACTCGTGATGTTTGGAAATTTGCCAAATTGGACTCGGCCGGCGGCTCGTCCAATTTTGGCAAAATTTCCAAACATCTCTCGCACTATTAATCCCTAATTGTACTCACCATCGCATGATTACCTATACTGATCGGTAGTTTTAACATACTTTATTTCCGCCCATTTCTCTTCGCCATATCTTCTTAAGACAAGCAACTCCAATGCGTGATTCACGAAACCATACTAGGTGGAAAGGGAAAATAATTTAACGTTCTCAATATCTTTCTGTAGTACATTCAAAGCAATGCAATCCTGTTTTCTTCAACATCTTTCATTGCTTATGTGCTACATATTAATCGCGGTTAACAAAAGCGCGACAACCAATTTGTGTTTGTGGAATTCTAATTATTATGATAGTAATTAACATTTCATTAATCTGTATGATTTCACAAATTTCACCAGTTACTATACAGAGCAAGCGTTATTCATTACCACTTACTGTAACATGTAGGTTTGGCTACTCTACAAACGTCTTCCAATGCACACGACGCTACTATTAAAGATAGTCTAAATGTATGGGAGAAGCCAAATGCCATCAATGAGAAGCCAAAAGCTCATGACAGCAGTGTATGCGCATATATTATGGAAAAAATCTCGTAATTTGCCATCTCCATCTTATACAACTATACTTTGGCAAAGCTGCACGATGATGCCGTCTAAGAAATTGACACTTAATGTATTGTGTTATTAAGGCCGTTATTTTCCTCAGTGTCGAAAAAAGATCTTCCTTATTGGGATCTGGTAACAGTGAGGCAGCGTACAATTTGGCCAATTTTGGTAATCATGGAAACTTTTGGATGTTGTAAGCTGATAGTATCTTTTGATAGAGACCTTGCCAGTCACCTCGATGATATATAAACTATAAGAGCTATTAGCAAGAAAAACAAGAATCGTAAACTACAATGGCCTGGAAAAAAAACCCGGCGTGCTAGGGGAAATCGATATACGTTTCTGAGTAAAACAACGATTGAAACAGTTGGCAACGATGCTCGAACAAGCCGTACTAAATGAAGTAAAAGAAATACGCAATATTGTTAGATTCTACTCAAGAGTCAAGATATTAGCGTTATTGACCAGGTATGTATATAGGGATCCGTTATGCTCTAAATGAACCGAACGAGCGTTTGTTGTGTGTGACACCCACCCACTGTGGAACAGGTGAAGGACTATTCCAACTTTTGAAGAATACCTACTTTAGAAATATGTAGGCCTAAAATTGCTTTAACAGATTGTGTTACCGATAGCGCAGACGGTGCCGCAAACGTATATAGTATTTATAATAGACTGCAGGCCAAAACAAAGGAGAATGTTCCATGCAAACCACGTGAATATTCACTGCGATGCTCACGCACTCGACTTAGTTGTGTGTGATTCGTGCACATAAATTCCACCCTTGTATTTGTTTGGTCTGGTGGAGAAGCTGGTCGTTTTCTTCAGGGATTCGTACAAGCGTATGGACGCCTAGAGAGTAGAGGGATATGATTGTTAAATGCCAATTGAAATCGGAGCCGCTGCAAAAAAGCGTCTGCAAATGATAATAATAATACTGAATAAAAGACTTTGTTTAAAGAAGGTATTACATAACCAGTTTAGCATAGTTAATCTTACACTGGGCCTTCTATAACTACGACTATGAACACTGAAACAAACAAATATATACCGGGTCCAATCCGAATTGGAGGTACTCTCTCGTGTCGAGATTTCATGCAACAAAGTGTGCATGGACCCAGAACAACTGCCCTCGTCCAGCCAACCCACTAATTAAAACAATAATTGCGAGAAAATGGTAAAGGTTATTCAATTGGTTTTAATAGGGCCTTTTCAGCTAATTCTCGGCGGTTCCAAAAATGTTTGCTTAAGTTTAAACACAGTTGTCTTTGTCAATATTTCATGAAAAGATAGAAGACATATATCAAAATTTAAGTTAAACATCGTGGAATATACGGTGACTTATTTAAGTGTAATAGCTCTTCTACTCTTTAAGTCATAGTAAATCAAACATGCAGTCGGACTTTTTTTTGCCCCGGACATGTCTATGTGCAATTCAAATAACTCCGGTTCTGCAGCACAATTTGAGAGAGCTTCGTGGAGCGATTGTTACTGAATGCCGCAACTTGAAACAGCAACTATGATCCAAAATTCTTTCGATTGTATGATTTCACGGGTAAGACGTTGCATTCGTGCTGGGAGACATGCATTTACTGATGAATGTAGACGATTGTTTTTGAACCACAAGAGTGAACGTACTGGCAATAAAGTATAATGCGTCCGTTCAGTAACACAATTCATTGCATGTTGTATGTATTAATATTTAATAAGCCATTTTTAGCTAATTTCGTCAGTTCCAAAAATGTTCACTCTTGTTTAAATGCATGTATCGTTGATAATATGGCATGCAAATGTGCATGGCCAAATATCAAAATTAAGTTGGATATCGCTGAATGCCAATAAACTTGTTTTAGTGTCATTGCAATTTTAGTTTTGATTTTGCAGCAATTCAAACAGTCGTACTTTTTTTTGCCCCACCCGGTATATATATATATATATATATATATATATATATATATATATATATATATATATATATATATATATATATATATATATATAATTCAATTTGTTTTGGTTGCCTAGATATATAAAGTGCTCAATACTAAAAGTATAGCAGAGCTTATTAGATTGTCTATATCTTAAAATTAAATATCGC